TTTGAGAGCAGTGACATTCGTCTAAAACGAGACGATTTTAAAATACAACTTATAGCATTTAATAGACATCTAAAGAAAGGTTTAGCTCACACAGAAGGATTTAGGAATGCTGACTTGAACACATCAGGAAGCTCGGGAGGAGTGCCAGGAACAACCTCCTCATCATTGTGTCAAGAGGAGCAACGATGCTGAGATGAAAGGCAAGTCTGCCATTAATCCTGTCAGCCAGTGAGTTCGCCCATACACACAAAAAAACTTCCAGAACATGTTGATGAACATAACGAAGCACCAAAACCTCTGACCCATCAAGGTCAGAGTTTTAGGCAAGTGCTCATGGGTACTGTGTATTAAGAACTGAATCTTTTTTGACTCCAGTAGAAATCAACAGTGAGTACTGAAATCTTTGGTGGGTTCCAAACCTAAAAGGAGAGACATGCATTTGATTGTCTGACACTTTTAAATATCACTTATGTGCAGTTTCATGCTTAGAATAAAGAATTATTTCTTTCACACAGTCTACACAACTGAATGCTGTATTGTGCCTACAGCAGGAGAGTTAATGCTATATTTGGGGAATGATGGTTTGACATCATGGATTTTCTTAAAATTTAAAGATGCTTAAAGAATATGAAAAGCATGCATGAAAGAATTACAGTCATTGTTGGCAATTTTAAAAGCAATTTTCATATTGATAAAAAGGGGGGAAAACCGGCGTGTAACATGCTCAGAACTAATGGTCATACAATGGTTTGTCTCTGTTCCACGAGGGTAATGTGATAGGTGTGTTTTCATTCATCTCCAGCTCTCTGATCCATTAACTTTCTGTCAAGGCCCTGTTCTAGCTCCCGCTGACTGCAGCCTTAACCAAGAAAACAGCAAAAAATTTAAATAGCGACAATTTGTTTGTCATACTCTCTCTCCCTTCAGTATTTTATGCCTTTGGTGACACAATGAAGTGGGCACACACTGTTCCTCACAGATTTATTAATTACTTAGCACAATTACCCACCAATTTTGACTCCCAGTACCTTAAACTCTCCTTGAGGTTTTGAAGTACCAGGCTGTGGGAGCTGTTGGAGTTGATCGCACTACATGTGTTAGTGATGTCTGGCTCCAACTGATCCACACAGGGGGCCACCTGTGAGTCCTGTAAGACCAGGACCAGTAATCCCACTAGTCAAACAAACGTTAAATATTAAGGTCACACAGACATGGGTGTGCTAGTGTGAGTTTTTTGGTTTAGCACTGCTGTGCTTTTTGTCACTTTAAATGTTAAATGTTGCAACCAGTTTTTTTCTTCCTCCTTTTCAGACTACTTCCTGTCTCTGCCCACTGGACAGATTGTTTGAGCATGTGTCTGCAGTGTGTGCATTACTAGGCCATATATTGTGTTCCTGTTTCAGGTATAAACACAAACCCTCACAGAGACTATACAGACTTTTCAATTTGTACACTCACAACACAGGAAATTGCTCATCTTCTTCCTTCCTTTGATGCTATCAAAAGGGATTGAGTTGATGGAGCTCAGAATGATTTATTGTGTGCAGTCTTTCTCCTCCTGTCTCTCTGTAGCTTTGGGGAGAATTGGATATCATTTATGTTCCTAAGAAACCAAAGCCTTTCTCAGTAGTTTGGTGCGGGATAATAGAAAGTGTGTTTTGAATTTACTGAAGCTGAGAAGAAGTTAAGCATACACAGAAAAAATAGACATACCAAATACCAATGAATGACACGATTGCTGTTTTTTCAAAGCATAAAAAGGTGACTTGCTTCACAGATAAAGGGAAACAGAGGGACTATGATGATTTTGCTCCAGGCTAACGTGCAAACCCAATTTAAACTTCATGTCCATTTAAATCACAATGACAAGGCAAAATTGGACACTCTGAAAATATATTTTTTACAATTGCTTCAATGACTTTGAAAGTATA